CTTCTCCCTGTACTTGTACTTCTTCAGCTTGGCTAGGGCTGCAAAGACGAGGGCCTGTCGGAGGGGAGTGACGCCGTCCTTACGATAGGAAATCTCCAGCTTGTCTAGCAGCTAGTTGTACAACGGCACGACCGGAGCAGCCGCGGGGTACAAGGAACCCTCGGCTGCCTTCGTGATGGAGTCGAACGGCTCAAGGAACTCCTTGAGCTCGACGAGAGCGTCCCAGTGCACGTCGATTACCCGAAGGCCATCCAGCTGTTCGCGTAGCTGGCGGGGGGGTGGGGAGAGGGGGGGGTTGGTGGATGGAAGAAGAGTACAGTAGGGGATGAATGTTTTAGGGTCATTCTAAACAATCACAATACAATAAATTATCCAAGTTTCCAGCCCCCGAGCAGAACCCTTCACTACAGTCACAACACACACACCACCGAACCAGCCCCCTACCATGCCCTTCACTACAGTCACAACACGCCAGCCACCAAACCAGCCCCCTAACAGAACCCTTCACTACAGTCACAACACACCAACCACCAAACCAGCCCCCTACCATGCCCTTCACTAGAGTCACAACACGCCAGCCACCAAACCAGCCCCTAACAGAACCCTTCAGTACAGTCACAACACACCACCCCCCAAACCAGCCCCCCACCATGTCGTTCACTACAGTCAAAACATGCTGACCACCAAACCATGTCAGAACATTGTAGCTTATGCTGTTATGTAGGCTATAGTGGGGTATCCCATAGGGGGTACAACCAATTAGGGTTTCATATTTGTACTCACTTCATTTCATAGTTCATTCATTCTCGTTCTCATTCTCACATGGAATCAGAGCAGGTCCCCTCCTAGGGACTGTTCCTTGGGCCCACCGAAGCGCGCCTCGAGTCGCGCCTGCCTTTTTTTTTTAGCGGCCCGTCGAGTCGCACCTAGCGGCCCGTCGCGCCGCCCTTACGGTCGCGTCGAGCCGCCCTAGCGGCTGCGGCACGCCGCCCTTTTCCCGGCCCGTCGCCGCCCTTACCCGCGGCTTTGCGCCGCCCTCACCGGCGGCTTCGCGCCGCCCCTACCTGCGGCTTCGCGCCGCCCAGGCCCGTCGCCGCCCTTCCCGCGGCTTCGCGCCGCCTCTACCTGCGGCTTCGAGCCACCCCGGCCCGTCGCCGCCCTTACCTGCGGCTTCGCGCCGCCTACGGCCCGTCGCCGCCCTTTTCTGCGGCCCCGCCGCCTCTCTCGTTGCGGCCCCGCCGCCCGTCTTCGCGGCCCCGCCGCCATCTCTCGCTGCGGCCCCGCCGCCACTCACTGCGGCCCCGCCACCCGTCTCAGCGGCCCCGCCGCCCGTCTTCGCGGCCCCGCCGCCTCTCTCGCTGCGGCCCCGCCGCCTCTCACTGCGGCCCCGCCGCCCTACTCAGCGGCCCCGCCGTCCGACTTCGCGGCCCCGCCGCTTCACTCGCTGCGGCCCCGCCGCCTCTCTCGTTGCGGCCCCGCCGCCCTTCACTGCGGCCCCGCCGCTTCTCTGCAGCGGCCCCGCCGCCCGTCTTCGCGGCCCCGCCGCCTCACTACCCAGCGGCCCCGCCGTCCTTCTTCAGCGGCCCCGCCGCCCTACGTCAGCGGCCCAGCCGAGCCGCCCAACAGCAGCGCAGCCGAGCCGCCCAGCAGCAGAGCAGCCGAGCCGCCCCGCCGCCGAGCCGCGCTGCAGCCGAGCCGCCCGGCCGCCCACCAGTCGAGCCGCCGTGCAGCCGACCGCCCAGCCGCCGAGCCGCCCAGCTGTCGAGCCGCCCAGCCGCCGAGCCGCCCAGCCGCCGAGCCGCCCAGCGGCCGAGCCGCCCTGCAGCCGAGCCGCCCGAGCAGCCCTGTCCGGTGAGCACAGACCCTCTGTCACTGCGTGCTCTTCCCCTACTCCTTGCACTGCTGGTCTACTGCTGTCATGGCTACCCCTAGTGTCCTCACTTTTGACGCTGAGGGTCGGGCCATTGACTTTGAGGTCTGGGTAGATGACCTACAGCTGTTCTTACAGTGCGATAGGGCGGACGGCCTCTCTCTCTTTGACCTCACCTCTGGCGCTTCCCCTGCCCCTGCTGCTGATGCTGACGCCACTGTTCGCTCCCAGTGGGCCACGCGCGATGCTGCTGCACGTCTTGCTGTGCGTCGCCACCTCCCTACCTCCGAGCGTGCGCACTTTAGTCAGTACAAGAGTGCTCAGACCTTGTACGCCGCTGTAGTCGCGCGCTACTCCTCCCCTTCCACTGCTGCACTGAGCCGTCTCATGCTGCCGTACCTCTTCCCTGACCTTGCTTCTTTTCCCACCGTTGCTGACCTCATTACGCACCTCCGCACTAGTGACACTCGCTACCGCACTGCACTTCCTGCTGACTTCTGCACCGCGAACCCCCCCCCCCATGTACATCACTCTGTACTTCCTAGTCACTCGCCTCCCTGACTCCCTTCGAGTAGTCAGGGACCACTTTCTCTTAGTCTGTCCCACCACACTCACTGTAGACCTCCTCGAGAAGGCCCTCCTCGCGATAGAAAAGAGCATAGTCGCTGTAGGAGCCTCTCGAGGTGACCCGCGCACCCCCATCTTTGAGGGGTGTTCTCCCTCCCCCCTGCTGCCCTCTGTTGCCTCTGCTGCTTCGGCCGACCTTCTTGGTCTTGAGTCGGTCGGTGCGGCGTCTGCCCCTAGCGGGAGACGCCGCCCTGGCAAGGGCAAGGGGGGCAAGGGAGCTGGAGGAGCGGGCGGTGGAGGTGGAGGTGGAGGCAGTGGGGGGAGTGGGGGTAGCGGTGGAGGTGGAGGTGGGGGTGGGGGGTTCGGTGGCGGCAGTGGAGGCGGAGGCCGCGGCGGCGGTGGCGGTGGTAGCGGAGGTGGCGGAGGAGGCGGCGGTGGAGGAGGCGGTGGAGGCGGCGGCGGCAGTGGAGGCAGCGGAGGCGGTGGAGGCGGTGGGGGTGGCGGTGGAGCTGGTCGCGGGTCTTTGCAGAGGAGTGGCTCCGGTGGTGGCTCGCGCCAGCAGCAGCAGGGATGGCTTCCTGGAAGTCCACAGGCACCTACGTTGACGCTGTCCCCCCTCCTGGGGCGAACATCGTCAGTGGCATGTGGATCTTCAGGGTGAAGCGGCCGCCGGGTTCTCCGCCTGTCTTCAAGGCGCGTTACGTGGCTCGTGGCTTCAGTCAGCGGCAGGGAGTTGACTACTTTCAGACCTTCTCCCCCACCCCGAAGATGACCACTCTTCGGGTACTACTGCACGTTGCTGCTCACCGTGACTACGAGCTGCACTCTCTTGACTTCAGCACAGCTTTCTTGCAGGGCAGCCTGCACGAGGAGATCTGGCTGCGTCGCCCACCTGGCTTCACTGGGTCTTTCCCTCCTGGTACCCAGTGGAGTCTCCGGCGTCCAGTCTACGGTCTCCGCCAGGCGCCACGTGAGTGGCACGACACACTGAGGACTACGCTTGCGGCTCTTGGGTTTGCTCCTTCTACTGCCGACCCGTCGCTGTTTCTACGCACCGACACCTCTCTGCCGCCGTTCTACATCCTCGTGTACGTCGACGACTTGGTCTTTGCCACAGCTGACACTGCTGGACTCGCCTACGTGAAGTCCGAGCTGCAGAAGAGACACACGTGCACAGACCTGGGTGAACTGCGTAGCTACCTTGGCTTGCAGATCACCCGGGACAGAGCACGCCGCACCATTACCCTGACTCAGTCACACATGGTGCAGCAGGTCCTTCAGCGCTTCGGCTTCACGTACTCCTCGCCTCAGGCCACTCCTCTGTCTACTCGCCACTCGCTCTCAGCTCTGCCTTCGGATGAGTCCGTAGAGTCGAGTGGCCCGTACCCAGAGCTTGTTGGCTGCCTCATGTACCTGATGACCTGCACACGACCTGACCTTGCATACCCTCTTAGCATTCTTGCACGCTATGTTGCTCCTGGGAGACACAGACCAGAGCACATGGCTGCAGCGAAGAGGGTGTTGCGCTACTTGTGCAGTACGTCGGGCATGGGGCTAGTGCTTGGAGGGCGGAGTCCAGTGGTCCTCACTGGGCACGCGGACGCTTCTTGGGCTGACGACCAGGCTACGCAGCGGTCGTCACAGGGTTACACCTTCAGCCTTGGTTCCGGCTCTGTTTCGTGGCGGGCTACTCGCTCGTCTTCTGTTCTTGGCTCGAGTTGTGAGGCTGAGATCTACGCCGGGGCCATGGCTGCACAGGAGCTTCGCTGGCTCACCTACCTGCTGACCGACCTTGGAGAGCCGCCTCGTTCTCCTCCAGTCCTGTACGTAGACAACAAGGCCATGCTGGCCTTGTGTCGAGAGCAGCGACTGGAGCACAGAACAAAGCACATTGCTCTCCGCTACTTCCTTGCTCGTGAGCTACAGCAACGTGGACAGTTGCGGCTTGCGTACGTGGCCTCTGAGGCCAACACTGCTGATGTCTTCACCAAGGCACTTCCGCCTTGTGATCATCAGCGCTTCTGCACTCAGCTGGGTCTTGTGCCCGTCTTGCCTCACTTGCTCTCCTCTTGACCTTGCTTGTACTCTCACATATATATATACCTGCTCTTGCTTGTCTAGCTTTATATATATGTGTGTACTCTTGCATGTGAACTGGCCGTGTGGCCTTGACCCTGTGCTCGGACTGTGTGGTGACTTTGTGATCCACCCTGAGCTTTCCTTTGCTTTGCTTTGCTTGACTGGTCTTGTGACCCCTTGTTCTCCCCCACTTTGCCTATGGGGGTGTGTCAGAACATTGTAGCTTATGCTGTTATGTAGGCTATAGTGGGGTATCCCATAGGGGGTACAACCAATTAGGGTTTCATATTTGTACTCACTTCATTTCATAGTTCATTCATTCTCGTTCTCATTCTCACAAACCAGTCCCGTTACAGAACCTTTACTACAGTCACAACACACCAACCACCAAACCAGCCCATCACTACAGTCACTCCACAACCACCACCACCAATAGTCACGTCCGTCCTCATGAGGAACAGGGCCAGAGCCTGCTGCAGCTCCAACACGCGGACAATCATGTCGTACGTGGACCCCCACCGCGTCGGCGAGTCGCCAATCAAATGAAGCACGCGTGCATCATCACGACAGCGCAACAAGATGCGCTGCTGCCGGGCAAAGTGCTCCGAGCGCTGAACCGACCACCCGACGAACGAACACACCGCGCGCAGACGCTTCAACGCCTCTGACACATTATCTACCTTCAATGCAGCCTGCACTGCAATGTTCATGACATGTGCGATGGAGCTATGCAAGCATGGCACACACTCATAGGGGAGAGGAGGTTGAAATAAACATGGTTGTAGGCGAAGGGTGGCCCATGGTACGGCGGCAATGCAGGGACAAATCAGAACCATCAGTGTTACACGTCGTTTCACGTACCGTACGTGCCGATCTCCGTCGAACAGCGGAGACGCCATCCTCGACTCAGCGCCCTCTGCTGGGTTCCCTGCAAGCATGCGCATGGCCTTGTTGTTGTTCTCTGCATTATCTGTCGTGACAGCGAACAGCATCTCGGTCAGTCCCCACTCCGCCAGAATGCCCTCAAGGGTCTTTGCTATCGGCGACGCGGTGTGCGAGCCCTCCCACTGCAGAAAAATCCAGGATGTGCTGCCGTAGCAAGAAGTCACTGTGCACTGTGACGACCATAAAACAAGGGGGTTCTCACTGGTCTAGATGTTTGTACTCAGCGACAGCCACCCAGCGAGACCATCACCAATCAGCTCCTGCTTCAACTCTGCCCTGGCGGCATCTGCGTATGCCTGCATGTCCCATGCCAATTGATAACGCGTCCCTAGCAACCCCTCGGCCCCGGGGTTCAGCAGTTTGACGAATCGACGGAACTATTGTGGGATGGAATGGACAATGAGCACAACGCACCCTGAACAATGAATGACATGTATAACAAGGATGGGAATTGAGTAAAGAGCAAGTTATATCACGAGGAATGGATACGCCACATGCTTGTACTGACAATGATTCGCACAATGCGATAATGGAGCCGAACAAGGACTCACCGATGGCCGATCGATAGGGCGGAATGGCAGGTCGGCGTCGGCGAACAACTCGACGAGGGCGGAGCGCAGCTCCTACTCCTGCACCCTGGGGGTGATGTACGCGGACATGCTGGCTGCACGACTCCCACCATTCGTGCCCCCCCCCACCCCTTCCGCAGTTCCACCCGTAGCCGTGGCTGGGATGTTCGGCCAGCTTGCCGCGTGTTCCCATGCTCCATCCCCATCTGGCACGACAGGGCCCTTCCCATCCATCCCATAACCCCCAAGAGGGAACTGCAGACCCGTTGGCTTCGCCGGATCCAAGAGCCGACGAACCCAAACCTGCACGTTAGGGTACACCTGGTCCGCGGCAAATTAACCGCCGGTATCTTAACCACGTTTGTCGGCATGCTGGGCGTTTTCCGTTGGGTGGCCAGAAATCACTGTTCACACTTGACCGAACCAAGCTGGGGAATTGCTGAACCTTTTTTCGATGTTTCAGCTGGTGCCGTGCGTGGGGCAAGCAACTTTTTCATCTGACTATTCACGAGAGAATCGCCACTGTCGATGCTTTTGCTTTTCTGATACTCGAACATTCTAGATGGCCAAAAGGTCCACAGTGTTCCTTTTGAGGGGTAATGTCAAAACTTTCCATGCTGTTCATATATTTGGGGGTGAAAATAGTGACCCAAATTTTGCACCTTTATCTTCACCACGCCCAGATAATCCAAACCCTGCTACCCATTTTGGCGTGGTTAAAATACCGCGGACTAGGTGTAACGTTTGCGCTTCACGTGCCTCCACCCTGCGCTGGTGTTACCCGACCCCCAAGAAAGCAAGTCCCCACATTTACGACACGCACGACAATCATCTACCATGTCGCAAAACATTCCCACTAGTAACCCCGAGTAGGATTTTCCAGCCAAGTTCTCGACAAGAGGATCTGTCGGCGTCTCCTCCCTCGCACGCTTCGTCCTACACCGCCTGCCCCCTGACGTCCCTCCGCCACGACTCGTGCCACCAGCTCGCAACGGCGTCCCCCCACCCCCATCGTTGTGCTGTGTGTCAGCATGTGAGGGCCCTGCCTCTACTGGGGCTGCCCCCTTCGCTCTCCCATCTCCACCCTCTTGTGCAACTCTACCAATCCGCTGACGCGCCTCTCACCATGAAGAGCAGCTGATCCTTTGCTTGAACAACCCTGCCCCCGGCCAGCACGCCCCCCTCCCCGACCTCGTCCCTATGCACTCCTTCTTCCGCGTCCTACAATGTTTTCCCCGGCCCCCTCCTCCTCCTCCTCCTCCTCCTCCTCCTCCTCCTCCTCCTCCTCCTCCTCCTCCTCCTCCTCCTCCACCACCTCCACCTCGTTCTCGCCAGCTGAGACACCCGCTGAATCTGCCGCTGCCGCTGCCTCCTCCTCTGCTGTAGGCACGCACGCACCATCTACGTCATTTTCAGCAGGCGCTTGCCCCGCAACCCATGGTTGAAGGGGAATCGTTACCCACCCAGAGTCGTTCCCCTCAATGTCTGCCGTAGCATCCGCCCCTCCTGACACGACAGCCGCCTGAGTAGCACTGTCGAGCATGATGCTTGTTCAAGCTGCAGGTGTGGGTATATGGTGCGTGTTGGCGCGTGCTGGATCTTGGAGGCTGGAGCGCGGGTGTCGCACTGTGCGCTTTTAGTAGCGCTCCCCTGCGTGCACTGGAGCTAGATGGCGTGGGACTGTGCGTTCAACGCTGCCACATTTGCCACACGAAGAGCATGCATTGGAAGAGATTCCACGGACTAATGACGCCAGGCGAGTGGTCAGATCGGCCCTGCGAATTTAGCCAGGGGGGTGACGTGTCTTTGGGAAGGTTCTTAGCTCTGGATAGAAGCTTCTCTAGAACTACTATAGTAGGAGCCTTAGTTTCGTACAATCGGCCTTGTGTGTTCCTCTCAATCGCCTTGTGTGGTGTGCGCTAATGCGCGCGCGAAGTCGCGGGATGGAGTGGGGTGGCGGTAGTGGCGGGCGTGATGGCGAGCTCCCCTGAATTGAACAAGTAAGGGCTAAAACTACTCTAAACGTATTTCCTGGCGGACTAGGCGCTACGGTTAACTTATCACATGGAAGCGTGGATCTTTGTATTGTAATGTTAAGTTGTTGATGCGGTGAGAGAGTGAATCTAGAGTCTAGTACCTAACTAATGATGTAATCTAGTAGTAGTGTTGCTGCAGGCTAAGGGACGTCAAGGAGGCTGGCGACGAGTAGGTTGAATAGCGAGGGTGTTGTGCGATGTGAAGAGCCACGAGTGGGCCTGTGTTTCCAAGTTTGAAAGCCCCAAACTTCGACGACCTCCCCCAAAACGTAACCCTAACCTAACCTGATCGCTTCGGGTAAGAATGTACCCAACACGAAAACGAGTTCATGACCCGAACTCGGGTCGGGTTTACTCGACCCGACGGGTAGCACATACCCGATATTGTACACCCGGGTCGGGTCCCGGTTAACAAAATACCCGAGCGGGTATACACTACTCGACCCACGAGCACTAGTCAAGACGAATATATGGACCCGACCCGACTAAAAAGTCGGGTCGGGTGGGTAACCCGACCCGTACGGGTAAAATGCCCATGCTTAATATTAGTGCGCCCATAACCCCCCAAGGCAACGAGCCTGTAACCCTTCCTTATGATCAATCGAGCATCTCGAGTGCAGAACTTCAGACATCTCTCCTCACAAGGATGTCGTATGACACCACACAACGACACCACCAGCATGTGCGCACATGAGGGCTCGAATCCGATACCTTCGCTTTGATACCATGTCAGAACACCAACAAATAGATCGCTGGGATAAAGAAGCTTGTTAAGTAGCGGGTCAATACGCCCACAACCCCCCATGGTAGCAAGCATGTAACCCTTCTCTAGAATGAATCGGACATTCTTAGTGTAGGTCTTTTGCAGGCCCCCAGAAGTCAGAGATATTTCTCTGATTTGCATGAAAAACTCTGATTTTCCAGACTTTTTTTAATGGCTACTCTGAAAGTTCAGATTTTTTTATGGCCTCAACTCTGAAAGTTCAGATTTTTTTTTAAGCTTACTCTGAAATTTCAGAGTTTTTTTAGGAGTGTACTCTGATTCAACAGACTCGAAACGAGAACCTACTCTGATTCAATGTACCTGGTTTGGCGCCGAAACCCGGGATTGACGGTGGCACTAGACTGCTACCCCGTCAATCACGCTTTATCAGGGACAGCCCATCAGTTTCCACAGCGACGCCGCCCTGCGGAGCGGTTTCCCCCTCGTAAGCACCAGCGCACACCAGCTTTGGGTGTTGATTGGTCCTTTTGGCAGCTTTTTCTAGCCACACAGGACTCCAACGGTACCCACGTTGCTGCATTTGGCAGCCACGTTACACTGCAGACAGCAGTGCACGGCAGTAGCGGCTCGTGGTTTGGCGTGCATGGTAGGCAACCACAGCCCGCTGGAACGATGGCCCACGAAGGGGTAAAGAGCCATCATCAGAGCTAGGGTTTCAACCCCACCTCATGCTTCAGCAGCCTTGTCTGGTCCCAGTCCCAGTGCTTTTTGTCTACCGGCACCACCTCTCTAGTGCCCACCATGGCGATTCAGGTTGGTTCTGCCTCAGGCGATGACGATGATGCAGTCCCTCATGCTAAAACCGGCCTAGACTTTCTGCTTAGCTCGCTAGCACTAGAGAGGGTTGCACGTTCTGCGCCTGACACAATCCCTTCCCCGAAGGAAGCTGCACCCGGTGTCTCAACTCCACCTGATACTGCTGAGTCGATGGATGAAGAACCTACCGTTGGTTCTGCAGCACAACATGTCGTGAAGCCGCCCGCCACTGCTGCAGCGCGCAACGTCCGACTTAAGCAGGCGACGCTTAGCTTCTGGAAGACGTATGCGACGGCTGTGGTCGAGAACAACGTTGCCGGCCCATCTGAAAGGCCTCGTCCACGGTTGAACATCGATATGGACCAGCTCATCGCAGATGTGTATGAGGATGCACACGACAAGTTTAAGTCACAGTGGTCTGCTCGTTTTCCCTGGCTCATGCTAATGAAAACCTCCTCTGGTCTTCCTGGATTTAAGTGCAGTGTGTGTGAAGCCCATGCTGGTGACGCAGGCAAATGTGGGAGGCGCGGGAAAGGTGCTACAGACGTGCAAACACAGTCCTTCCGTAAGCACGCCGGCACACAGAAGCACAAGCTGGCGATGGCGAAGTTCACCGCTCTGAAGGAGTGCGGGGCTCGGCAGCCGCTGATAGGCCAACTTCGAGTCACGGTCGACGAGGAGAAGCTGCGCGTCGAGTCCCTTCTTGACTCGTTGCTGTTTGTCAGCAAGTGCGACGCGCCAATGGGACTGTGGGTGAAGCTTGTTCGGTACTTGGCGGAGAAGGACGTAAAGGGATTTCCCAAGAAGGGCTACGGCACATACTACACCACGTAAGTGATGCTTTGCTATGTACCTAGTATGAGTTGGTGCTTTCTATGTTCGATGTGAAACGGTAACTGACAATAATATTTGTCGTGCAGGTACGGCTTCGAGGAGTTAACGCAGGCGACGGCAACGTGGCTTCAGACAACCCAGCTGGAACACGTGCTCACAAGTCCCTTCATCGGCATCTCCCTCGATGAGAGCACGGATCGGTGCAGTGGGAAACACTTGATACTGTACGTGACTTTCATCCGCGACAGCAAAGTGGCGACGGAGTTCATGACCCTCATCACCGTAGACAAGGGGGACGCTGCCACACGGGTCAGTCTCCTAGTTTTGCACCTGCAGGCAGTCGGCATCGACCTGAGGCGGATATCCGGCATCAGCACTGATGGTGCCAACGTCATGATGGGTAGCAATTCGGGCTTGGTGACACGCCTCCGCCTGCGCATACCCCATTTGGTGTCTTGCACTGCATCGCGCACAGGTACATGGGCTCTTGTACAGGTCTTTGTGCTAGCCTTTTTTTTTTAGACGGCTTTCTAACCTTTCTTGTATGCGTTTCAGGGAGGCTCTGGCTGCCAAACATGCTGCTGAGAACATCCCCGCCTTCAATGTCGTCGACAAGGTGATTCGCACCGTGGCTGAGCACCTCGGCAGGTCGGGCCCGTGGCACCAGAGGTTCATGGATCTCCAGGACGTGTTCACCTCAACGAGCTTGGAACTGCAAGGGATCCATGCAGTTCGCTGGCTCTCGCGGGGCGATGCTGTGCTGCGTTTTATCACCATGCTTCCAGCGCTGATCGTGATGATGAAGAAGTGGGATGCTGACTTGTATGCACTGGTGACAAGCTACGGGTTTCATTTCCTCCTTTTTTTTATTGCTGGCGTGCTTGAGCAGCTGAACATATTGAACAGGGCCTTCCAGCACAAAGAGGTGAGCATGCCACTGGAATTTTTCAATGACATAGTATGTTTGCTTTATCATTGTACACTGTTTTTCACTAACATTCGTTTTCTTTCCGTGTTCAACCCAGCTGGATTATGCCGTCGTCTATGGGCAGATAAGGCGCACCACCTCTCACATCGAGTCGCGCTATGTTGACTGCGGGGACGACTTCGGTGGCGGCGTAAGCGAGCGGCTATCCCCTTTCCTCGCGCGTCATGGGCCAGGAGGAAACAGGGAGGTGACAGTCGAGGGTGTTGACTCCGACGGGCGACTCGCGCGCTTCAAGTTCAAGCTGCATGAGGACGACGTGGAGGATTTTGAGGGGCCCGCCACGCACGATGGCTGCGTGGACGTCTGCACCGCGTTCGCGGAGAAGATCGTCCATGAGCTGGAGTCCCGGCTTGGCGACCTGGAGGGAATGGCAGGGGCCAAGCTGTTCACCCCTGACGAGTATCCACTGGACCGAGGAGAGAGGAACGCCAGATGCCTTCAGTGGTTGTCGTCCCTGGCCACTCTGTTCAAGGCTGACAAGAGCGAAGAAATCCTGCCTGGTAAGCCGTACTCTACTGTAAATGTATATGTGCTTTACCTTTTTCATCTCTGTATGGTTGTATGTGATGTGGTGCTACTTCGGTCAAATGTTCTATTTTTGTATGTTCCACTTTTCATTGTTATACCTTTAAACGCCCTTCAGGAATCAACAAGCGACGTGCACAGAAGGAGCTGCGCATGTTCACCTCGGTGCTTGCAGCGACCAGCAGGAACGAGCATAGTTTCCATGCTGGACTCACTGCCATGCTGAAGACGCCGGACTGGCGGGAGAACTACCCCAATTTGGTGCAGTTGTGGGTGGCGGTAGCAGTTCTGCCGCTAAGCACCGTGGAGTGCGAGCGTGGGTTCTCGCGGCAGAATATCATCAAGTCGTGACAGCGAGGGGCGATCAAGGATGCACGGCTTGGGGATCTCATGTGCATGAGCCTCATGCAGTATGAGCCCAAGTGGGACGAGATTGTCACAATCTGGCGCAGCTACAAGAAGCGCAAGCCCCACAGGAACGCTCCAATCGATGCAGCAAGGCAACAGAGCAAGCAGGGCAAGGATCATGCAGATCATTTGGACGTAGTTGACTTAGGAGATGATGATGATGCTCTTGAATGTGATGATTATGACTGACTAATCGTACGGTAGTTATATAGGATAGGCTAGTATAGTAGTAGTAGTAGTAGTAGTAGTAGTAGTAGTAGTAGTAGTAGTAGTAGTAGTAGTAGTAGTAGTAGTAGTAGTAGTAGTAGTAGTAGTAGTAGTAGTAGTAGTAGAGTAGTAGTAGTAGTAGTAGTAGTAGTAGTAGTAGTAGTAGTAGTAGTAGTAGTAGTAGTAGTTACAGGAGTAGTAGTAGTAGTAGTAGTAGTAGTAGTAGTAGTAGTAGTAGTAGTAGTAGTAGTAGTAGTAGTAGTAGTAGTAGTAGTAGTAGTAGTAGTAGTAGTAGTAGTAGTAGTAGTAGTAGTAGTAATAGTAGTAGTAGTAGTAGTAGTAGTTGTTGTTGTTGTTGTTGTTGTTGTAGCTTTTAGTAGTTTCCTAGGAGCCTTGGTTGGATACTTAAATAAGTGCATGCTGTACGGTGCAAACCCTCAAAATGCAATCAGACTAATCACAACTGGTAACTCTGACTAATCAGAGTTCTGTCAAATGTTAAAGCCTCTAGTGGGTCATGCTATATGGGGTACAAATAGTTAGGGTTAGGCATTTGTACCCCAACCCAATCAATCCAACCCATTCCGCTGTGTTTAGTTTCTGAGATGGTATCAGCAGTAGGTTCGCCGTTCCTAGGCCACACTTAGTCTCCGCCGTTCCTAGACTTCGGCCGTCACTACCGTAGCCTTGGCGTGAACCCCCCCCCCCCCCGTCTGCCCTAAGCACGCTAGCCAGCAGGCCCGCCAGCGCCCTAGCCAGCAGGCCCGCCAGCGCCCTAGCCAGCAGGCCCGCTAGCGCCTTAGCCAGCAGGCCCGCCAGCGCCCTAGCCAGCAGGCCCGCCAGCGCCTTAGCCATCAGGCCCGCCAGCACCCTAGCCAACAGGCCCGTCAGCGCCCTAGCCAGCAGGCCCGCCAGCGCCCTAGCCATCAGGCCCGCCAGTGCCCTAGCCAGCAGGCCTGCCAGCGCGCACGCCAGCGCGCCCCGCCAGCGCGCCCGCCAGCGCGTCAGCCAGCGCGCCCGCCAGCGCGTCATGACAGCGCGCTCGCCAGCGCGCACGCCAGCGCGCCTCGCCGGCGCGCACGCCAGCGCGCCACGCCAGCGCACCACGCCGCCTGCCCACCAGCCAGCGCGCCGCGCCGCTCGCCAGCCAGCGCGCCGCGCCGCCCGCCAGCCAGCGCGCCGCGCCGCCCGCCTGTCCGCATGCCGCGCCGCCTGCCCACCTGCACGCCTGCGCGCTTGCCCACACGCCACTGACTGTCTCCCCCTCCTGCGGTTGGCAGCCGCGCTCTCTCAGTTTCGCCCCCTATGGCGACCTCCCGAATACTTCGATTTGACCCTGAAGGGAGACCGATTGACTTTAGTACGTGGCTTACGCAGGCGCAGCGCCACCTTAAGAGCCAGCGGCAGGATGGCGTGCACCTGTTCGCACACGCGTCCGGCACTCAGACCGCCCCTCCGCAGCCTCAGCAGCTGCCCACTACCCCACCGCCTACTTCTGAGCAGGAGGCCGACTACCAGCGCCAGCTCCTCGCTCGCGACGTGTGGGAGTCTCGTGACGCCGCTGCCTGCCTCGCCCTGACCGACCTTCTCCCGCCGACAGAGGCAGTCCACTTCGCTCAGGTCGAGTCTGCTGTAGATCTGTATAAGGCTATTATTACTCGCTACTCCACTCCCTCCTCTGCTTCGCTCAGTCGCCTCCTCGTACCCTTTATCTACCCTGACCTCGCCTCCTTTGAGACTGTCTCTGACCTCGCTACTCACCTGCGCTCCCTTGATGCTCGCTTTCGCGCTGCTTGCACTGAGGACCAGCTTGCCCTTGCCCCACCCCCTATGTGGCTCACTATTCACTGGCTAGTCACTCGCCTCCCTGACCGCCCAGCCACAGCCTGCGACGCGCTTCTTCTGAAGCACCCCACTGAGCTTACCATCAATCTTCTTGAGACTGCTCTCTCGAAGATCGAGAGTAACCTCCTCACTGTTGCCTCTGCCTCTTCCGCGCCTCCTCCTCGTCTTTTTGAGGGGTGTGCAGTACCACAGCTTCCCACCTTCTCTGCCTCACTTGCCACCCCCACGTCTTCTGCCTCTGAGGAGACGGCGGCTGTTTCTGTCTCTAGCGGGCAGAAACGTGGCAAGGCTCGTAAGAGGGGCAGGAAGGGCGGCGGGGGTACTGGAGGTGGTGTGGGTAGTGGCGGTGGCGGTGGAGCAGGTGGTGGGAGTGGTGGTGGGGTTGGCTCGGGACCTGACTGAGAAGAGTAGAACGAGAATGAATGAACTATGAATGAAGTGAGTACATATGGGAAACCCTAATTGGGTTGTACCCCCTATGGGATACCCCACTATAGCCTACACAACAGCATAAGCTATATATATGTTCTGACACACCCCCATAGGCAAAGTGGGGGAGAACAAGGGGTCACAAGACCAGTCAAGCAAAGCAGAGCAAGCTCAGGGTGGATCACAAAGTCACCACACAGTCCGAGCACAACGACAGGGCAACAGGGCCAGTTCACATGCAGGAGTACACATATATATATAGAGCTAGACAAGCAAGAGCAGGAATATATATGTGACAGTACAAGCAAGGTCAAGAAGAGAGCAAGTGAGGCAAGACAGGTACAAGACCCAGCTGGGTGCAGAAGCGCTGATGGTCACAAGGCGCAAGTGCCTTGGTGAACACATCAGCAGTGTTGGCCTCAGAGGCCACGTACGCAAGTCGCAACTGACCACGCTGCTGCAGCTCACGAGCAAGAAAGTAACGGAGAGCAATGTGCTTCGTTCTGTGCTCCAAGCGCTGCTCTCGACACAAGGCCAGCATGGCCTTGTTGTCTACGTACAACACTGGAGGAGAACGAGGCGGCTCTCCAAGGTCAGTCAGCAGGTAGGTGAGCCAGCGAAGCTCCTGTGCAGCCATGGCCCCGGCGTAGATCTCAGCCTCACAACTGGAGCTGAGAACAGAGGACGAGCGAGTAGCCCGCCACGAGACAGAGCCGGAACCAAGACTGAAGGTGTAACCCTGCGACGACCGCTGTGTAGCCTGGTCGTCTGCCCAAGAAGCGTCCGCGTGCCCAGTGAGGACCACTGGACTCCGCCCTCCAAGCACTAGCCCCATGCCCGACGTACTGCACAAGTAGCGCAACACCCTCTTCGCTGCAGCCATGTGCTCTGGTCGGTGTCTCCCAGGAGCAACATAGCGTGAAAGAATGCTAAGAGGGTATGCAAGGTCAGGTCGTGTGCAGGTCATCAGGTACATGAGGCAGCCAACAAGCTCTGGGTACGGGCCACTCGACTCTACGGACTCATCCGAAGGCAGAGCTGAGAGCGAGTGGCGAGTAGACAGAGGAGTGGCCTGAGGCGAGGAGTACGTGAAGCCGAAGCGCTGAAGGACCTGCTGCACCATGTGTGACTGAGTCAAGGTAATGGTGCGGCGTGCTCTGTCCCGAGTGATCTGCAAGCCAAGGTAGCTGCGCAGTTCACCCAGGTCTGTGCACGTGTGTCTCTTCTGCAGCTCGGACTTCACGTAGGCTAGTCCAGCAGTGTCAGCTGTGGCAAAGACCAAGTCGTCGACGTACACGAGGACGTAGAACGGCGGCAAAGAAGTGTCGGTGCGCAGAAACAACGACGGGTCAGCAGTAGAGGGAGCAAACCCAAGAGCCGCAAGCGTAGTCCTCAGTGTGTCGTGCCACTCACGCGGTGCCTGGCGGAGACCGTAGACTGGCCGTCGGAGGCTCCACTGGGTGCCAGGAGGAAAAGTCCCAGTGAAGCCAGGTGGACGGCGCAGCCAGATCTCCTCGTGCAGGCTACCCTGCAAGAAAGCAGTACTGAAGTCAAGAGAGTGGAGCTCGTAGTCGCGCTGAGCGGCTATGTGCAGCAGCACCCGAAGAGTGGTCATCTTCGGGGTGGGAGAGAAGGTCTGAAAGTAGTCAACTCCCTGCCGCTGACTGAAGCCACGAGCGACGTACCGCGCCTTGAAGACAGGTGGAGAGCCCGGCGGCCGCTTCACCCTGAAGATCCACATGCCACTGACGATGTTCGCCCCAGGAGGGGGAACCGCGTCAACGTAGGTGCCTGTGGACTTCCAGGACGCCATCTCTGCATCCATAGCTGCCTGCCACTGAGAGGAGTAGGGACCCTCTACGGCCTCCGCGTAAGAGCGCGGAGTCGGGATGTCTAGTGCATCCGGGTCTCCCTCAGGGGCAAGTAGTACGGACGCGAGATGAGGTGAAGCAGCAGCCAGACACCTGAACTCCTCCTGCCTGTCCTCAAGGACGTCCGTGCCAAGAGCACACTCACCCCCGACGGACGGAGGACAGACAGACGCAGACTCAGCAACAAGACCGGCAGCGTAGTCTAGACGACAGCGAGCAGCAAAGTCGACGAGCTCAGCAACAAGCGCAGACGCAGCAGTGGACTCAAAAGAGGGGTCAGTGACGACAGTAGCAAGGAGACGTGTGACAGCAGGACTGGCAGCACGAAGAGAGTCCGACTCCGGGTCAGGAAGAGCAGGAAGAGAGGACTCAGGAGGAGAAGGCAAAGGGGCACGCAGAGGAGCAGTGGACGGACGCAGAGACATCCGGTGCGTGCCAGGGACAGGAGGAGGACGCTGACGCGAACCACGACCACTAGTGCGAGCAGCACGGACAGGCGACGCAGGGCGAGACGCAGGCTCACGACGCTCAGCAAGACCTCCAGTAGGACCAGTGTAGGGAGAAGGAGCGGGCAGTGGGGAGGCCGGCTGTAACTGTAACTGTGACAGGACAGGCTGTGGACACTCTAAGGGAGGAGGAGGACCAGTAGAAGGCGGGAGACCAAGAACCTGCTGAAGGAGCGGAACGAAGTACGGTCTAGGCCGCGCGGCGACTCCAGACACAGCAGGGACAGCACCAGTACCCCCAGCGGCAGCACCAGCGCCAGTAGCACCTCCAGCTCCAGGAC